TTTCGAAAACGCGCTCCCCAGATTCGGATCGGACTCATTTCGATTGTGGTAATTCTATCTAGTGTTAATGACCAGTCAATACGGAATCAAGCTACATTGTATTTCAATGATCAATGGTGAACGAGAGATTGAAACAGACAGATCTGTAGCAAGTAGCACAGCATGACCCAAATGATACAATGTAAAACTTCATGCAATGAAGAACAACGGGCCAATAGCGAGGAGTCACATTATCATACACTCGCGTATCGTTGAACGATTGATCATTTTTCATCGGTGTTCGCTAGACAATACGATCCAGCAACTGTCAGCGCTATCGTCTTCTGATAAACAACAACATGCCACGTGTTCCAGTTGTTGTTGTTGTTTTGGCAGTATGGCGCGCGATTTTGATTTCATTTTAAGCAGCTTGCCTGCTCGCAGCACGTGGATCATAAAGACAGTAAAGAAGATCGAAGCAATAACTATAAGAAGAAATTACAGGGAAATTTAGATTTTGTTAGACATTGTTGTGCTATAGCTAATAACACAACACCGTTTTCATCGCCATGATCTTCACGTTGGGGGAAAGGCGTATTAAAAACGGATCAATTCACTGTTCATTTTTAATATGAGTATGCTCCTATTTATTAAGAGCCTAGAGAGTGCTGAATAGGACCTATTGTGTTGAAGTTCGGCAGGCCCATACGCAAATTGCTTACTAGCTTTTCATATTTGTGCTCTAGTGGAAAGTAAACGTTTACTTCGTACCGGTACTGCTCACCACGAATAGAATCGTCTACGTGCGAAGGTTTCCCGACGCACGGCCCACAAGGCCAGTCTACCGAATCATTTAAATTGTAAAACATTGCAGGTGCAATGCTATTGTTTGAAAGTTTCCTAATGTGATTTGGTATTTTACCTTTTTGTTTCTTGGTTCTCCGTAACCATTACAGCAAAAGATGGAAAAAATGCCGCGCTTGATTATTCCCGTTATATTCGCCGTTACCCGAGCTCCAAGCACTGCGGCAACAATTACTGCAAGGACCTCAATTATCGTGAGCATTATCACTGCCTCGACTGCAACTTCAGGGTAAGTTATGTTAGTCTCTCATTCATATTGAATCCCTATTGATAATAAAACTAACCGACAAGCGCCATCATGTGGATGATATCTATGCATATACATAGAGAAATTGTTTGTTCAACGGATGAATTTCGAAGAGTTAAATGCTAGGAAACGCAAAACAGGGAAAAGGGTCCCGATGTCGCAGTGGAACTGCAACGAGGTACCTTTTGTCGTTGTTCGAAGCCGAGATAACTGCGTATCCGTATCTAATTAAGTAGCAACTGTTGATTCTATCATTCTCTTTCTCGTTCCGTATTGCCAGGCTATTTTCTCATTCATGTAATAATAATAATAATAGTAATAACGCTTACAACATAAACAAAAACACGAGCGGACATTGGCCGTCGCACTGTAGGTTTATAACAGTAAAACGACGATTTGATCAGCCTTTTTTTGGCTACTTCCTGTGCCGCGGCATAAAAGATAACTAACCGTAAAGCGACGCCGCAAAGAAGTAGGGAAAAAAACGAAAGAACTTCTATCTCGATTCCGTCACCCTTCAGATAACAGTTCGGTGGTCATAGCGGCGCTGGTGGCGGCGACAGGATTGGCGACATGGGCAGTTTCCCCGTGGATTTGTAACGTGAACGCGTTATTGTATTGAACGTATAAACATTAATAATAGACAATACGGCATGAATACATGTTGGGCACGCATAGAGAGACAGACGGTTGCGTCGGTACGCGACAACAGAAGAGTGACAGACACGCCACACACACACATACACACACACACACACACACACACACACGAAGCGATTCTTTTTTGTTTGACGTCTGTGAAGGAATACCCCAAAATACTGCGCTGCATACTATTCTCATACACATTCGTGCACGATCACCTGCACGTAGAAAAATCGATACGTTCATTGCGCCCACGTCGTGCGATACGCATCATTTCCTTCAAATCTAGATGAGATTGCGGGAGAGACGGGCCGGCTGAAACCAATATAGCGTCCGATTTATGAGATTAAATTGTTGTTTGTAAACCCATTAGGGGTTTTGGCTTGAGTTTGAACACCGCGTCAGGATGGCGGTCGGTTTAACACAATAGTATAGATGCAAATAGGCCAGCTTGTGCTTATTTTGTCATTATTATTGCTACCATCACTCGTATGACAAGAAGGCTGTCGCGTCTATCGATTCGAGCGCTCGGCTTAGTCAGTCTCGATTTTTCCTGTGTCGTTGTATCGCATCGCCAGATGATTGAATCGTCTGACTAGGTCGTCCGCGTTGTTGTGGCCGTCGTCGTCAGCCTTGTCGGTGACGCGAGCGTTTAAAGAGCAGACCTTTTTTTCAATTTCCCCCATCACGATGAGATGTTGTTCGTCTCTTTTCCTGTGTGTATTGTTTTAATCTTTGACTGCGTTCGGGTGCTCTTGCTGTGACCGTTACTGCTATTCGTCCATCTATTCGCACTCCGATACGTTTTCTGCTTTGATCGTAATTAAAATCGAGAGAAAACAATTGAGCCTATTGAGATGAAATCGAGACTGCGATCCGCGGGAGGGCAGGCTGGTAGACAAAAAGGCAGTGCTCGTCGAGACGAGGCTACAGTCAGACAGAGGTAAATAGGCAGCTGTTTTGCGTGAAAGACGCGGAAAGTCGTCGCATGACGAAGTATTTGCTTGCTGTTACCTTGCAAATACTCTAGCTGCTCCTGCTATTACGACGACGACAAAAATCTATTGTCATTGCCGACCGAATCGATTTGTTGGCCAAACAGTCAACATGAGTCCTACGTACGAAGCCTAGCACGAACAGTAAGGTTATTTGGCCACGACGCAGCTAACGACTGCATTGATCCTAGTTACAGACTCAGACTGACCTATCAGTAACAGGAAGAAGTCGAAAAGTTGCTTGCGT